GATTCAGTGTCTGGGGTAATCGGGATGGGAGTGTCAGAGACAGTGCGATTGGCACAGGACAGAGCAGAGTTTAGGGCTGTTGTACATAGGGTCGCTATGAGTCACAAGCCACTCACTCGACGGCACATAACGACAATAATACCACACCTCCAGGATGTAACTAAGGCAGTCAGTCCTCAGGTGAAAGTTCATAGCAATAGATGCAAACACATCAAAAAGGAAGAAGGCAAAATTTATGACCTAACCCAATTCTTCCGTCAAATAGAAAAACAACAATCTATTCCTACAGCCACTAGAAGAAAGGAAATTATAAGAGTAAGAGATGAAATCAATGAGCTAGAAAACAGAAAAACAATTTAAACCATTAATAAGACCAGGAGCTGGTTTTTCAAAAGGGTTAGTAAAACCATTGGCAAACTTAACAAAAGAAAATAAGAGAGGACACAAATAACTTAATTAAGAAATGATAGAGGTGAAATCACAACAGAACCAGAAGAAATTAAATCAATAATATTGGAATATTAGAAAAAGCTAACTAAATATACCATGGACTGCTAGGACAACAAACAGGTTCATCCTAGAGAGGGTGAGACCAGCCTGCTCCTTAGAGGCAAGGATTCTGAAGCTTCGTTTGACATACTTTGGGCATGTTGCAAGGCGGGATCAGTCCTTGGAGAGGGACGTCATGCTTGCGAGGTTGGAGGGACAGCACAAGAGAGGAAGACCCTCGATGAGACGGATTCATTGAGTTACTAGGGTAATGGGGGTAGGTGTGTCAGAGACAGTAATATTGGCACAGGATAGAGCAGGGTTTAAGGCTGTTGTACACAGGGTTGTGATGAATCGCAGGCGACTTGATGGCACCTAACAACAACAACACTTTGATAAATTTGAAAACCTAGAGGAAATGGACAAATTCCTTGAAACTCATGCCCTCCCCAGACTGACACAGGTGAAGAATACTTAAATAGATGCATCACAAAAGAAGAAATTGAGCAGGTCAGAAAAAAAGACTCCTTCCCCGAAAATAGTCCTAGCCCAAAAGATGACTTCATAGCTGAATTCTACCAAACATTTAGAAAAGATCTGTCACCAATTCACCTTATATTATTTCAAAAAATAGAGAACACTTCACTCTATGAGGCAAATATACCCATAATACCAAAACCAGGGTAAGATATTAACAAAAAAGAAACTATGTTGTTCTTTTAATGTTTTCCTACATGTTGTTGTTGATTGCCATTGAGTCAAGCACTACTCACAGTGACCTTATGAACAAATGGCCTGAAATCTTTCTGTGACTATCATCATTTATCAAAGTTCATAGTTTCCAGAGGCATGTTTAGGAAGTGGATTCCACTTCTGCTTCCAAACATAACTAATGTTGTCTTCATTTTCTTTGTCTCATCTCTTATTTTTCTCCTAGTATGTTTCCATTGAGGCTCTTGTCTTTCAGCACACTATCTCTTCTGTTCTACATTTTTTGTCCAACCACTGTATTGGACACTTCTGCCATTTTGGTCTTAATAGTCTGGATTGCTTTTTCATGCATTTCTGTTATTTCCAGTACTGTATTAACTGTACCATTTCTGTCTTGTGGCAATTTTTTAAATTCTTTTACCTCTTTATCTATAGTTTCAATCCTTTCTTCCATCTTTTGCATTTCTTTGTAGTTGTACAAGTTACTCCTTATCAGTATATGTCTACTGGTTCCCTGTCTCTGGAGTATTTATTCACTTTCTTAATGGCTTCCATTGTTTCTTCTATCATTTACACCTTCTTCTGTAGCTGCTCAAATAACTACACATCAATATGTTGCTTCTGGTTCTCTGTGTCTCAGGTATTAACTGGTTCTGCCATATGCTCTTTTTTAGAAGGATTATTTGGGTTTTTCATAATGTTTGAGGCTGTCTGCTGCATTTTTTACATTATAATCAATCTTTTCTTGGTAGATATTAGGCTGTTAAAAGTGAGAATGATATTCTGTGAAGCAGAGTGAGTGTTGTTCTCTAAAACACTGCATTGAGTTCATTCTTGTCCCCTTTGGCTTAAAAAATCCTAAGCCTTGGTCTTTGCAATCGCTTGTTATGCATCAGAGAGTTGGACAATGACTAGGGAGGACAGAAGGAGAGTGGATGCTTTTGCGCTGTGGTGCTGGAGAAGGGTACTGAATGTACCATGGACTGCCAGGAAAACAAACAGATTCATCTTGGAGAGGATTAAACCAAGCTACTCCTTGGAGGCAAGGATTCTGGGGCTTCGTCTGACATACTTTGGACATGTTGCCAGGAGGGACGGGTCCTTGGAGAGGGACATCATGCTTGGGAGGGTGGAGGGACAGCGCAGGAGGGGAAGACCCTCTATGAGATGGATCGATTCAGTGACTGGGGTAATCGGGATGGGTGTGTCAGAGGCAGTGCGGTTGGCGCAGGATAGAGCAGGGTTTAGGGCTGTTGTGCATAGGGTCGCTATGAGTCGGAAACGACTCGACGGCACATAACAACAACAACAAGCCTTCCATGCATTTTGTAGTCAGGAAGATTCAAGGGTGGAAGTACCTGGATCATAGAGCTCAGGGATGTATATTCTTCCGGAAACTGTCCACTTCTGTCCCCCATTTTCTCAAGAATTCCTGAGCCTTCTCCTCATGTAAAGTTCACAGGCAGAAATACCTTTCACGCTTTAATTAATTAAATAAATAAATAAGTAAGTAAGTAAGTAAGTTAAGTAAGTAAGTAAGTTAAGTAAGTAAGTAAGTAAGTAAGTTAAGTAAATAAGTAAGTAAGTAAGTAAGTAAAAGAAAGAACCAGATCAAGAAGGCTCTCTTAAGTGAGCTCGTTTTGTTTCCTTGTCATCACAGGAGATTTTTTTTTTTTATGTTCATCTGTTACTGATCCTCTGCCGATGATAGAATGAATAGAACAGAAGAGCAGCATGCAAATCTCTATTGCATTTGAGCCAAAGATTGTGTCTGTGTATTGACCCCAGTTTTTATTTCTTCATGGAAAGCTGACACCTGTTAGCCTAAAAAGCTAACATCAGACTTAAATTTTACACATTCCATTGGTTTTCGAATTAAACAAACTAGCAGATTTTAGCCATTTGAGACTACCTCTTTACATGCCTCACAGAATTAAACCAGTTATCTGATAGCTATAGATAAGGAAAATACTGTAGTTTTAGTGACCCCCTTGTGCTACTCTTTTTTTTTCCAGAGCTGTCTGACTCAAAAATTTCCCACCTTGTTATTGATAACATCATCTAGGCATATAAACCTCACTTCCAAATTCTGCTTTTTTTCCTCTAAGAGTTCCCTGTCTTCTCTTCTGGTGATTTCCTGTGCCTCTTACATATGGAAGATCTACTCCTACCACAGATTACTCCCATTTGCAGATTATCTATATCAACTCCAATAAATAGTTATGCAGTACTGCCATCTCATGGTGAAATCGTTTTCCTTATTCATCCCCTCAAACTTAATAAAAGGTCTTAACCTTGACACCAGTGTCATTGGCTCATCACGTAATCTATGAAGGTTCCTTATTGACTTTGTAGAAGTAATTGTTTATTCTTTATAATTGTTATCAGGATTATATGATAAATAAATGGAGGAGATAATTTTCAAAGGCTAAACATATGTAAAATATGATTTTAAAATGAATTCCTTGATCCTATATCCTTGTACATCCCTAATCCATTGTCCTGGTGGATATCTTCTCTCTCACACACAATTTAAGTCTCTCCTGCAGCTTAGCTGTTTGTAGAATATTTGTCAGTAGGTATAACGAAAATAATATTTTCTTCTTCTATAATGCCTGTAATAATTAGACCATCATAATTCTTGTGTGTTTGTGAATCTATTATATTTCTGCTTCTTGTAAAATTATAAACTCAGACTAACTGTCATTGAGTTAGTTTTGACTTAGGTCAACCTTGCATTGGGTTTCTGAGTCTGTAAAGCATAGTGTGAAGAGACTGTCCATCT